GTACTCACGCTAAAAAAAGAGATGGTGCCTCTTTTAAATTGCCACACCTTTATTAATAGACAGTCGACAGTCGCCAAATGTGACATGTATATCGGTGTGTGTTTGTTGTCGTAAGTCACATGAGTTCCCGCAAAAATTATTGCTCGTCAAAGGAGATAACTGATTGGTTCTGAGTTCATTTAAAAGGTTAGATTCAAGATCAGCGAGAACTGGAAGGAATCGACCCCGGGAGATAAACTTGAGAGCCCACACACCAGCTTCCAGGTCTACGTGTGTTGCTCACTTTTCTTGTTTTTTGTTTTTGTTTAGTTTTGACTTTCGAATGTCCACGTCAGGGAAGGAGGCGAGGAATTGAGTCAATAGATTCGCTGATGGTCGTTGTGGTGAACAGGGACCAAGCAGACAGTTAAATGATTTACATGATGTCTATAGTATCTGACTCGAACAAGTGGTAAAAAGCTGAAAGCACGATACACTAATATGTTTGCTCAGTTAGAGAGAGAGAGAGAGAGAGAGAGAGAGAGAGAGAGAGAGACAGAGACAGAGACAGAGACAGAGACAGAGACAGAGAGAAATTGATCACAAGTAATATATTATATTCGAGTCGACGCCATTAAGATCGGCGTGGGCTGCTTCCCTCTGGGCGATTGAGGCACTCAGAGCTTCCCTTTTGCAAATCGAGCACTTGTCCTCTGGTGTTAAAATCAGCCAGAAAAAAAAAATACCCCCAAGGGCGGTGCTACTGACTGTAGTGTCTTTAGGCCATTCCCAAAAGGGGGGGGGGGCATTTCTTGTTCATGCACAGAAGAATTGTAAATGGGCTGATCCAACAATGCCACGCTCATTACTGTGCCTGATCTACAACAGGGAACTGCTGTTTTTTCTTTCCTAATCCTTACTATTGTCATTTTTCCTCTACTTCTTTTGTATGTTTGTCACACTCTTGTGACCCGCTATTTCCGAGGTGCCTTGATAGTCGAAGCCGACTTTGTGCTGTTGAAGCTAGAGAGGTGAGCAGAGTAAGTCTGATTCCCTGTAAAGACTTCTCTGTAGACACCCACCCCCTGGCGCTCATATGACCTTATGCAGTTGCGAGCGCCGTAAAGGGGAGGGAGGGGGGGGGAGGGGGGAGGGGGGGGGGTCGACAAGCCAATCGCCGACCGATTGCCCGATTCACGTCCTGAAAACGAACGCGTTTGATTTTGAGGCTGCGAGTCGGGAGATCGGTTTGTGCCACAATGGGCGCTTTGAGCCCCCAATCTGGCTAGCCCACGCCTACCGACCCGAACCGAACCTAACCGACCGATCGAGCCAATGGGCACCCCCTGTAAGGACACAAAGTAACATTGTATACTTACTTTATTTTTCCCATAAAGAGGCCATCTGAGATTTAGCCCTTCGGCCTGTGCAGCATTGTATACAAATGTGAGGCAGCGTGGTGGAATCTGGCTTTCGTCAAAATAATCAAACTTGCATTTTTCCGAAGGTTTGTGAATTTTTATCAAATTTTTGTTTTTTGGCTCAACACCTTTCAGACCCAATAAAGAACTCATTTATGGGTGGATTTTTCTGAAAAACATTGATTAAAGGTACCAAAAATGTAAATATTTAGTTACCATGGAGCTAAGGAAATAACTAATCTTTGGCGGCCATTTTCTCACAAATTTTACCTCTGAAAGTAGGTGAACCCCACCTCCTTCTTTTGCAAATATCTCGACTTGTAGTCAAGATAAATGATATTTTTTTTCATCCATATAAAGACAAGTAAACAAGCTTTAAGATGATACCAATAACTCTAAATGCCCAAAAATTGACGAGAGCCTGATTCCACCACGCTGCCTCACAAATGATACGTGGTAGCATACACAAAAAAAGGTGGGGGGGGGGGGGGGGTGATGGGGTGATGATGCTTGTGGTGTAAATGTTGAACTCTTTACCTGTGTACAGTGAAGGAAGGAGCTCGATTTCCAGTCGGGAAAGTTCATACATTTATCTCATATCTACAGAGATAATTGATCCAAATTCTTATACCCACTCGGGAATTGAACTTGGATTTCCTGCGTGCGACAGCAAAAACCACTAACACAATAACAAGCTTTATGTTCACAGAAAAAAATGGAATAAGCGAGAAACACCCTTTTTGCAATATACTGAGATTTATTGTAGTTTTAAATGTTCTCATCTTGTACATATTATTATGCAACGTTTAGAAATTATACTTCCAAGTATCAGTTAATTTATCACTAGACAATTTAAGTGATATTATGTAATGGTATATTGATTATATTACTCGTATAATACATTCATTCATGAACAAATGGATAGATAGTTAGATTGAAATAGACAGATAGATAGATAGATAGATAGATAGATAGATAGATAGATAGATAGATAGATAGATAAATAGAGTACGAAGGCAACGTCTTATGGTTATGCGTAGCATTGTTTGACGCTCCCATGAACTGCACGACATAACAACTATTTTTCTCCGTTTGGAAAGAACAATTCATGCATTTATGTGAGGCATCGTGGTGGAATCAGGCGCTCGTCAAAAGGATGGAATCCAAGAAAACAGTATTTTTGTGGACGGTGGAAATCTTTTTTTCGATATTTTTTTCTTCGCTCAACACCTTTTATGTGTATGTAGAAATGTTTTAGAGACAAATTGTAGATTTTACTGAAAAACGTTGATCAAAGACACAAAAAAAGTAAATTTGCAGTTTTCAAAATCCTTCCAACTTTGGAAGTCACCAAACTTTGGCGGTCATTTTCTTGATAAAGTTGTGAGGCACGGTGGTGAGATCAGGAACCTGTCAAAATAAGGGAGTCGAAGAGACTGGTATTTTCCCGCTCGTTTGGAAATCTTTATCAATTTTTTTTTTGCTTTGGTCTCAACATTTTAATTGTCCTTTTGACATTTTAAAAAACAAACCCCGTTGATTTAAGGCATAAACATATAAATGTGCTCTTTTCAAGTTCTCTCAAGCTTTAGAAGTCACGAAACTTAGACGGCCGTTTTCACGCTAATTTTACCTCCAAAACCTAATGACCCCATCTCCTTCAATCGCAAACGTCTCGAATCCTGTTAAGAACAGATGAGTGCTTTTTTTTTTCTAAAGCAAGACAAAAACGAAAGAACAAGCTTTAAGACGGTACCAATAACTCTACATGTCCGAAAATCCCCGAGCTCCTGATTCCACTTCGTCGTGGCACAGTATTTACATTTCTGGCGGGGTGCCACCTCTCCATAGTAAACTATCTCAGTTCTACGGTTCTGTTTGATGTTTGTTTAGTAGAGGTCTTATGGCGCTCGCAACTGCATAAGGTCATACGAGCGCCAAGGGGTGGATATCAACAGAGAAGTCCTTACATGGAACCAGGCTTACTCTACTCACCTCTCTAGCTTCAATAGCACAAAGTCTGCTTCGACTATCAAGGCACCCCGGAAATAGCGGGTCACCAGAGTGTGACAAACGCACCAAAGAAGTAGAGGAAAAATGACGATAGTAAGGATTAGGGGGAAAAAGCAGCAGTTTCCTGTTGTAGTTCAGGCACAGTTATAAGCATGTCATTGTTGAATCAGCCCATTTACAATTCTACTGTGCATAAAAACAAGTTGATGTCCCGCCTTTGAGAATGGCATAAAGACACTTCAGTCAGTGGCACCACCCCGGAGGGGTGGGGGTTCTACAAATCTCTCCGTCAGAAAAAACAGCAATTGCATAGGCACTCATAGGCCCACTGCTTAACTGCTTAATACTTAACATACAGAATGGAGTACTGGTATCTTTGAATTCCAATATTTTCTGTGAAAATACATATCTCCGTAACTTGGCAACTATTCAAGCTGAAAAGAGAGACGAACTTTAGATAAAAGATTAAGTAAATTCACTTCTAAATTTTCTAGTTGATATATAATTAGCTCATACCACTTAGAATGGTACCCCGAGAGTCAAATTGTTAGAATCTTTGTCGCATTTCCCCTTGTTCCTTACATGTCCTAAGCCTATTCCCTGCTATATCGCAATAAGTTTATTTTGAAACTAGCTGGGCCCCTTTCGATGAAAAGATTGATCGGTGCACTAACATCAACTGAAAGTTATTGGCCTACTATATTTACACTTTATTGGAATGGAGGCATAAATCTTGAGAGATTAAAAAAAAATAGAAGGTCTAGATCTATACTCTCAAAACAAAGTGCGCCTCGCGAAATATCATTTCTGGCACTTCCGATGTGAAGGACAGCTATGCAGATTTGTTTCGTTTCTCAGTGGAATAATCACAAAAGGCGAAGGAAGGACGGGAACTTTGTATCAAATATATTATTTTAAAGTGAGGAAATGAATAAATAAAAAATCGGGCTCCGTCATGAGGACCTTTCTATCTTTTGTAGATACTTGCCAACTTTTAACTCTGCAGCTGTCGTAGTTAATGGAAAAAGTGACACATGTGTTTCCAAGTTGGCAAACATATAATAATAGATATGTACACGTTTTTAACATAGTCCACATAATGGTAAAGCTTTCAAGCTACAAGCCTGTATTTCTCATCAAAACTCAAGAGAAAAAGAGACACATTTGGTATAATATGAAGATTCAATAATCTTTATTGTGAGGCAGTGTGGTGGAATCAGGCTCTCGTCAATTTTTGGGCATGTGGAGTTATTGGTATCATCAGCTTGTTCACTTGTCTTTATTTGGATGAAAAAAATATCCATTTATCTTGAATATAAGTCGAGATATTTGCGAATGAAGGGCGTGGGGGTCACCTGTTTTCAGAGGTAAAATTAATGAGAAAATGGCCGCCAAAGATTGGTTATTTCCATAGCTTAAGAGTCCGTGGTAACTGAACATTTTTATTTTTTGTGCCTTTAATCAACGTTTTTCAGAAAAAAAATCCACACAGAAATGAGTTCTTTAATGGGCATGAAAGGTGTTGAGAGCCAAAAACCAAAAAATTTATAAAAATTCACAAACCTGCGGAAAAATGCAATTTTTTTCACTGTCAATATTTTGACGAGAGCCTGATTCCACCACGCTGCCTCACAAATATAGTACAGGCAAGTGGCACTCAGGATAACAAGAAGAAAAAAATAATGCAGGAACTAGTGGGTTACTGGAGAGTTGCCGACCTCCCAAGGTTCACGCACTGACAACTCGTACCTTCGAAGTATATTAAAAATGGAGACATACTTTCGTTATTCATGCAGATTTTTCCATCTGTTTTCTTTGTCTGAAATTTTAACGAGGCAGGCAAGAATATGCATGCTATGAACTCTGCCAATTCATGTTTTTAGTTCGCTTGTGTGTTTGATGGCTCCAAATGTGCCTCAACATTGCCCTTGGTCTGTAACTTGCTGGTCGGACGCATGCGTCCTCTTCGTCCTTATAGAGTTAAGTTAACACTTAGCGATTTTTGGGCGAATCTTTATTTCGGTGAAGGTTGCAGAATTGTACCGGCCCGTCACACTATCCCAGATCAAGCCGTCGCCACCTCCTGAGCTGCCCCACTCCCCGTTAAAATTGACACGATGGCAGTTCCTGTACCACCAGGCTCCGTGGTCAGCTTCCGCACAGTTGTAGTGCCTGAAGGAATCGTTGTCACGGTCCTTGGTGGAAAAAGGAAGCCCGTTATGATACCTCATTTCGTCCTTCACATTACCGGAAAATCCTGAAATTTGGATAGTGTAGTTCTCAAGTTCTCCTGAAAGTGAAAACTCGTCGTAGGCGGCGTAGTAGGAGGTACCCATGTATGCAAAATCAAACCTCAGTTCGTATTTTGCCTGGAGATGAGAACAAGAGGAAAATTAAAACAGAAGTTAGAATAACATAATCACATACAAATTGTCCATCTTTGTCTGAAATGTTTCAACAGCAATGCATCATCAGAATATAATGTGTCCCAACGGGATAAAATCAGGTGCTCACCAATTTTCTAGCACTTGGGTTTATGGGATAAACTTAAAACTTGTTCATTTGCTCTGCTTTTGGTGAAAAATTACTCATGTATTTGGAATAAAAGTTGAGATATTTGCTTGTGAACGGGTTGGGGTCGTCCGGTGTAAGATTTTACAAGAAACTTGTTAATTATGTAGACTCTAGCCAGCCTAGTTGTGATGCATGTGAGTGGATACAGATTTCTATGTAACGGATAATCTAGTTTTTATGTAGCCTTGGTTACAGTACTCTCAGTGCTGAACATCATCATCATCATCATCATCATCATCATCATCATCATCATCATCATCATCATCATCATCATCATCATCATCATCATCATCATCATCATCATCA